ACATTAGAGGTAGAAATATGACCGACACGACTAACATGCATTTGAGAACCATCAGCAGTATGAATGCTAGGTAAATTAGAAGGACATGTAGTGGAAGAAAACATTGTAGGATCAGAGGTCATATGGTTGCAATAAGCCGAATCAAAATACCATGAAGAGGTACCTAGGGTGACTGAGATAACAGTAGAAGGTGTACCAGTAGTGGAAAGAACCTTTTGCATAATAGCTTCAATATCATGAACAGTGTAAGTGGAAGAGGAGAGAGGTGCAACAGCAGCAAAGGAAAACCGAATTGAAGAGTCATGTTGACTAGTAGAGGATCCAGAAGAGCCACCATAGAGAGGAGAACTATTTGAATAATCCATGAAGTGATCAAAGTATGAGTCACAAAGAGGGCCCAGTAGTGTCGGAGTAGAACTGGGTGAAACAGAGTGTCCCAGTGAATTCGGAACGTTGAAAATAGCCAGAGAGAAACTAAGTTGGCCAAAAAATAGCCAAAAAATGGCTCTGGTAAAGTAAAATAGAGAAAAAAAACAGTGCTAGAAGAGCAAAAATCAACAAAACAGAGCGCACCAGTGAGTCCGGAAGGTCGAAAATAGCTGGGAAAGGGGTCTAGTGGGTAGAGATGATGTTAGCAGGGGCTAGATGACGTCAGCAGGTGCGCGGCTCACGTTAGCAGGAGGGTGCACGGCGCACGCTAGCAGGAGGGTGCACGGCGCACGCTAGCAGCAGGGGCGTCAGCAGGTGCACAGCGCACGTTAGCAGGAGGATACGCGGCACACGGTAGCAGCAGAGGCGTGCATCGCACTGTAGTAATGACGCTGACGCGCTTAGGGCTGATGTCAGCGACGATTGTAGCGGAGGGACGCGCGCGTGACAGACATGTGGCTTGTGAACGGCTGGCAACTGGCGTGTGGGTACTAGTGGCGTCGTGAATGACGCACCTAGAAAGAGGTGGTGCGTGAGAGCGCGTGAGGCCTGATTTTGGATCATGGTTGGTGGATCTAGAATCGTCTGGAAGAGACGAATATGATGGTTGTCGCAGGTTTGTGATTACGGCTACTGGAATCGTCTGAAAATAACGATGGAGCAATGCTGGACCAAAGATAACAAAGTGTATGGTTGATGGAATGAATGTTGTAGTGCCACTATGTACAGGACTAAGCTAAAAAAAAAAAAAAACCTAGTGCTCTGATACCATGTTAGAATGATTGAAGGAAAAGGAAAACTGTGTATCTGTGTATATTGAATTAAGTAATTGAATACAATAGGAGAGCCTATATTTATAGGATGAACACAAACTTAGATAAGTATAAAAGGAGATAGAGATAGAGAGAGATAGAGATACAAGGAGATAGTGATAAATCTAAATCTAATATATCTATATACATTAACACATACAAAACCACATTAAATTCCGAACATAGACCCAAAATCCCTCTATGAAGAAGAATACAGTGGTTGGTTGGCAAGAGACCAACAATGAGAACACTTGAAATGGAATTCTCTTTTTTTTCAATAATATATATATATATATATTTCACATTGTAAAAATCAAAGCCAAACATCTTAAAAATATAAAATCCAAAAAGCTTAGAGCATCTTCAATCCTTAACTAATTTTTTCATCTAATTTAATTCTAAATTTGAGTAAAAAACTTGATTTGATATCAACTATTACAATCCTTAATCAAATTTTTATCAAAATCTTTTAAAAATTATTCTCTTATCCCATTTTTTTTTATTAAATTTGAAAAAAAAAAAAAAATCATCTCAAATGCTTCATTTTTTTTTTTTTTAACTTTTGTCAATTTCAACCCTTCAAATTCGATGTTTTTTTTTTCTTTGGGTGTGATTTTTTACATTTAAAAGGGAAAACTACTATGATAAAAATAAAAATAAAATAAAATAACATAGCCCAACCTCCCCACATATATATTACAAGGAATATACAGGCTCTGTTGTGATGAGATGAGGAGATTGCGACACTGTTAGCATTGATAAAAATAATAAAATAATAATTTTGATATATTTAGTTTGGGTGATTTTTGAGGAGTGAGTACCTAGTAGTTTTGATTGCTCATATTGCAGTTTATTCCTCTACCTCCTCTCTACTTCAAAGATGTATCTGTCGTCTATGAAGACTGCAAGAATGAGAGTGATGAAGAGATTTCAAACATGTCGCTCAAGCGAAACACTGCACTGCTCTAGCAGTAAATATAATGTCCTAGAAGTTTTGCAAGTCTACAGTGAAAACACTGGGAGCCCCACATCTACGCTCGAGTGAAGACTTGACTGCTCGAGCGGTCTCGCCTGTAAACAGGCAAGAAAGATACTGGGAGCCTGGAATCACCGCTCGAGCAACCACTTGATCGCTCGAGCGGTCTCCCATAACAGAATGTTACAATCTTCCCCCCTTCAAGAAATTTTGTCCCGAAATTTCGTGATTCCTATCAACAACAAAACCCAACAACCTAATGACGTTCAACACCATACTAACTAACGATAACCACAACCATCAATAATGGAGGTCCGATAAATAATGTTTTTAAGTAGCATAGCTACATAGGTACTACAATAGATGAGCTCTATCCCTATCCAACATGTCAATACTGATACTTTCAAGAGAATAACCTTTCTCAAACTGCGTGTAACGAGTTGGGTTGGGGTGGGTTGGGGAGGTGGATTGGCAGGTAAATTGCACACCCTTAATCCCAGGTTTAATCTTCTGTCCTTCATTTTTCTTCTTCCTACATCACTACTCACTTTGTATTGAGAATGAATTCAGGTATTACTAACTTATTAAGATTTGGCATGTCATCCTTTAAAGGATGAAGATTGGGACTTAGGAAACTGAGGTTTTTGAACAAAGCATTTTAGAAAATGGCTAGGGAGATATGCTGAGGAAGGTAAGGGTAGTGTAGAATAAGGAATACTGTGAGGGCTAATAAAATTTGTACAAGTCTTTTGGGGTGAAATTATGGAAGAACTAAATGAATGGCTGAGAAGAATTCTCCAAACATATTTAATTTTTGGTAGGAAATTTGCAAAGATGAGATTTCATGATGACTACTGTATGGTAGTAAGCTCCACAGACTAATAGTTCCAAATCTCTTCAAAATCACATCATATAAGGAAGCCATGGTACCAGGCAATGTTAGTGGAGTAGATGGTACAGTGGTTTGCCCCAGTTGTATAGGGCCTTGCAAGAATGAGACGTTGACATGGTGGAACATCGCCATGCTTTATCCCACTCTAGGAGATACCAAAGGGGTAGAAGGCTTACTTTGTGGCAGGAAGTCACAAAGCATAAAAATTTTAAGGTTCGATTCTATTCTAGTAATATTCCTAGCCAATAATCGACCAGGGCCTTCCTAAAATGTCCCTTCTCTTTTTCCCTTGATAGATATCAACATTGGAAAGAATTATGATCTTGATAATTTGGTGAAATAGGAAAGTGTTCAAAGGAAATCTAGAAAAAGTTAATAACCTATTGGCTAAAGCCTAAACGCTTATTTTGTTTTCACTATTTAGGATCTACCTTACTAGAGCTAACAACTCAGAGTGATCGTCAAGTGAGGATACGAGTTAAACATTGATGGATGGTGGGCTCCTATTAGTGGTATGCCCTAAAAGCTCCTTGTCATTTAATTAATAAAGGGAAAAGTTTTATTTTGTCATACTATCTTTATTGTGCTATTGTTTACATTGTAAGTCCATACAATTAAAGTTCAGAATTTATGTCTTAAGAGTTAAAATTGAGAGACATGTACTTCTCAGTATTTTATTCTTAAAAGTTCCTAGTTATACGATTACTATTTGGATGTTAGTAATCCAAACCAAATGGACTAGCACGTGTTATGCTTGTTCAATTGGAAGAGGGAGTAGTCTCAAGTCACTTGTGTGGGACAATTAAACAACCATGTGTGTGTTTGTTCGAGAACAAGTGACCACCCAGGAACATATCTAGTTCGCTTATATGTTATAGTTGTGTGTGCAATCCTTAGACTGAGAACATCATGATTATCCTGTGTGTGCATTGCTAAGTTTTGAGAATACAATATGCTTATATTCTAACAACGAAATATGAACCTGTATAGATAGGGCTTAGTGAGACACCCATGGAGGCACCTGAATGTTTAAGAATTGATCCATCACTCTCAAGTAAAGAGATAGAATAATTAGAAAGGAGTTTCTAATTTCACCAATACAAGTTGATATGCATTAGATTAGACACATGATTGAGTTAGGGGTTTGACAAACCTCAATGTCCTAATGACCTTTTGAGACATTATACGATGAAAGGATTGAATGCATGGTAACTGTTAGAAGGGCTCATTTTGTATATTCATAATATCTGGTATGTTCATAATATGTTGCTTGGTGTCACTCAAGATTTGTGGAAGCCCAAGGAAATGTTCCATGGGACATTTAAAATTCATAATAAATATCAAGAATTTATATTATTTCTACTACACAGATAAGTGTGAACCTAAAATTTCACACACAATAAGGACAGCATGTAATATAATGGAATGAAAAGAGTTAATCCAAATTAAGTGTTAATCAGGAATTTTAATTAATTAAGAGTTTTGAAAAGCGGTTGCGGTTGCCGTAACGGTTGCAGTTGCGGAGCGTAAAGGCCGTAGAGTAACGGTTGCGGTAACCAGAACCATGAATTTTTTAAATTTTTGCAGAATTTGAAAAAAAAAACTTACGCATATTTTTTTTTTTTTTTTTATAAATAAAACAGAAATCAAACAAAATTCAATATGTAATTCACTACACACATCCACAATCCAAGAAAAACAAAATAAATACCAATTAAAGTAGATCTTAATTAGCACAATCTATCTCCAACTCAATTATAAGATTATTGAAACTAAAAATTTTACAATCACAATTAAAATAAATGTGAAAATCAAAGAAACCCAAAAAATAAAATCACTAATGTGTCCACAATTCAAGAGAAAGGGAAATAAGGAATGAGATTACACATACTCTGTCACTCTTGAGAGGCAATGCAGCTTTGCCTTTCTTGGGTTTAGTTGGGGTAACAACAACAACACTTTCCACAACACCCTCTTGGAGTTGTTCAGTTTCTTCTGCTAGCTCTGCTTCAGCAGACAAAGCGGCCACAACAACTGGGGAATTGGGTGAAGAAACATCAATCCAATGGTTCGATTTTGTGTGTGTGAAATGTAAGACAAGTGGGTAGAGAGAGAAAGAGTTGGAGAAGTTGAAGAAGCATGGTTTGGGTTTGAAGGAGAGAGAAGGGGTGAGGTGTTGGGGAAGAAGAGAGGAAGCGCCGCGGGATAGCATGAGAGTGGAGGGAGTTGCAGAGGAAGCCATTTTTGTTAGTCGAACTACTTTCTCTCTCCGTCTCTCTAAAAGATGATAACGTTAGGGATAGGTTATGTACGCATAATTATTATTTTTTTAATTAAATACCCTTATGAGAATTTTTTATTAGAAAATTTATTAATAAATACTTTCATGACTTATCAATCATTTAGTTCTGTAAATATTTTTATAATTTATGTCTTATTTTACATTAAAATCTCTCAAATAATATATACTCACATTTAAAAACGTAATAAGATAATAGTGGACATTTTAAAATAATGTCTCACTATTACATTTTTAAAATGACACATTTGTCAAAAAGTTTAATAAAATAATAGTACATAAATATCTCATTGTCACATTTTGAAAAGAATAACATATGCAGAAAGAGTTTAATATGACAATAGTAGACACATTAGAATGATATTTCATTGTCACATTTTAATAATAATATATTTGACAAAAGTTTAATAAGATAATAATGTACAAATGTCCCATTCTTACATTTTAAGAAGAATGACATATTTAACAAAAGTTTAATAGACAAATAATGTATACATTAGAATGATGTCACATCGTCACATTTTAAAAATGACACATTTAACAAAAATTTAATAAGATAATAGTACACAAATAAAATATATTCACATTTGAAATATTCAAAAAGTATAATAAAAGGATCTCACGGTGTACTTTTTCAAATTTAATGGGACTTAATAGTTTACAAAAAAATTCATAGGACTTTCTGGTACATACTTTTTCGGGATGGGACTTCTGAATAAATTTCCCCTTCTTGTTTTTAATAGAATTAATTAAAAAAATAAAATTTTTAATTTTTTTTCATAATGTAGTAATTTTTTTTTTTTTTTAAGAATTTTTAGATGCACCTAACAAGTAAATTTTTGTGAAGAACTTTTTAAAAAAACATTAAATCTAAAAAAAAAAGTTGGTATATTTTATTTTTGTATTTTTCGTCTTTAGGAATTCCTTTATTTTATTTTTCATAAATATTTAATTTTTAGATGCATCTAAATTAGATATACTTACAAAGTAAAAAAATTTAAATAGGTTTATTAAAAATTAAAAAAAAAACTTAAATAGTTTTTAAAAACAAAACCAAACATATTGATAATGTCATTTTAGGCATTTAATTCGAAATGTTATGTGTAAGTCAAATGTCAATTTTTTATCTATTTAAATAACAGATTCTTAACAAAATATTCACATTGATGTAAACTTATAATTTAAAATGGCAATGTATCATTTTTCAGTTGAAGATGTAAAGTGATATTGGATGATAGTTCAATGGGCTAAAGTGTAATTTATCCTATGAAAGGGTATTTTCATTATAAAGGTCTAAATTGAAAAGAAAAATAAATTAATTAATAGATGAGGGGAGTTGGGTGCAACAAATTTTAGTTACGTGGGTACAATGATATAGAACAATTGTTGAGGGAGTGTAATTTATCCAAAAACTATTAATTGAAAATGACCTTTCTTATTTTGATAATTTAGGGTGTCTGAGCTAGTTTGTGTGCACCTCGAGTAATTTCTGAGAGACTAATCCCACCGTCCACCAATGGAGGCCCAACTAAAGTCAAAGCAGAGTTTCATATGAACTGACCTAACACAGGAATTAAAAATGACCTTACTACATAGTTAATAAATGAATGCAAAATGATGTGAATTGAAATTTTTTTGGTGTGCAAATGGAAGCTCTCTCCAAATTCCATGTAAATGACTTTAATACCCTTTTGGCCCTGTGCCTTTTTTTCTTTTTTGCTTCTCTGATTTTTTTTCTTTTTATTTATCAAAAAAAATTATATATTATACACATAATTTCTAATTAAAACAACATTAATTTCCCACGAGAAGAATAAATAAATTCAATGAAATAACAAATTAACCTTATATTTTTAATTATTTATTTGAATTCCAAGTTTAAAAAATTGCCTTGCCAAACCTCTACAGGCATAGTGAAGGATAAGCTTATTTGACATTATAACAAGGATGGTGTCTTTATAGTAAAGTTTGGGTATGAGGTGGCATTAATATTGAAGCGCAATCGCATGTTGGGAAGTAGGGGAAAGGGTGAATGACTGTTGTTATTAGCATTTCATTTATTTTGAATTCTTCATTTTTATAGACCTCCATTTATAAATTTCAAAATCCTTAAAATTTCACTCGCCTCCCAATAATGCCAAAATTTTCTTTTTAAAAATTTCACACCTACTAAAATGTGCACCTTGCAGCACACCCTTAAAAATCATTGATCTTCCAAAACCTAAAAAGTTCAAATTTGACCTTCACCGTAGAGATCTCTTCTCACTCTTACGGTAGTATCTCTGTTGCTCTCTCTTTCACGACGAATCTCATAGAAAGAAAGACAAGTTTCGCAAGTGAAGAGAAGCTTCTCTGTTGATTTGAAACCCATCTTCACAAGTTGTATCTCTCTCTTTCTCTCTCTCCCTCCCTCTTTCGATCCATCAAATTTTAAGAAATTCACTTGTTCGGACCTGTGTTTCCGAACAAATAAATTATGTTCGGACCTGTGTTGCCGAACATATGACTGATGTTCGGCCCTATGTTCCCGAATCTTAGAAAATGTGAACTTTTGCGTATGTACACAAGTTTGACCCTTCAAAATTTAAGAAATTCCCTTGTTTGGACTTGTGTTCTCGAACAAATAACTTATGTTTAGGCCTGTATTGTCGAACAAATGATTGATGTTCGGCCTTGCGTTGCTGAACCTTAGGAAACATAAACTCCTGTGTGTTTTTGAAGTCAAACCGTTTTCACCATCTTTGTCCATATTTTTGAAAGAACTTACCATTACAAGGCCAACGTTTTCCAAGTTGCAAACATTATCCAAGCTAAGAACCTCCTCTAACTTACATTGTTGTACTCCATTCGTCTCATGGAATTGTGGTTGCTAGAAAAACTTTTACTCCTTACTATTGTCGGAGAAGTGTGTATAGTTGAATGAATGCCACCATTGTCGTCAGAATATCGCCGTTAGAGGGTTCTTAAGTTTTTTAGAGTGGACAAGTTCTGAAGGTTTTGAAGTGTATGGGTGGTGATGGGGGTAGGTGTTCTCATAAATCCTATCTCATGATTAAGTAAGTGTGTGAGCTTAATTGTGAGATAGGGTGTCCTAAAATAATTGATGTCCTCTTTGGTAATTTCATTTGAGGTTATTATTATAATAAAAAATATAAAAAAATGAGGAGTCCAAAATAATAAGTGAGGTACTAATAACAACACTCAAGGTGAATACAACAGGCGAAAGGAGAAAATGTTACCAAATTGGCCCTATAAGAAATTGTTTTGCTTTTGAAGAGAACTAAATGGTTTTGGTTTTTTTTTTTTTTTTTTTTTTTTTATTGCTAGGAAGGGAAGCGTATAAGAAATATCAAAAAATAGATGTTATTATGGTTCAGTAAAAAATTGAAAAATTTGTAAATCAACTTGATTCAGACCAAATCATATAGCTTGGTTTGGTTCCTTTCAATGGACGTTTTGGTTCTAATTTTAATATAGGTGAACTATATTTTGCACCATTTATACACACGTGTATATATGTAATTAGGGACGGATTTATTAAGGGTCTGGGGAGGCACATGGCCCCCTCAATTATGCATTTTTTTGTTTTTGTTTTGTATTGTGGGGATATATTTTCTAAGTACCAACACGTGGCCAAGGTGACGCCGACGTGTCAGCCGAGATCCCACGTGTCCTGGTCGTGACGCCGAGGTGATCTCGGCTAGGTAGAGGTTATCTCCGAAGATATCAGAATCCGGGATAAGCGAATAAGGGACAAGAGTCCTGGAATGAGGAAAGAACTCAGCCTGGATAAGGATAAAGCTCTTAGGGAGTTTATCTTTATTTATTGAAGAGTCCAAAATAAGCACTGAGCTAAAGTCCATTAGAGCAAGGCTTCTACTGGAACTAAGATTGAGTTAACTATAAAAGAAAGGCACCCCCATGGGTCTAAGGTACACAATTTATATTCTGAACAGTGACTTTAGCACTTGATTTATCTTTGAGAAATAACTGACTTGATCGTCGAAGTGCCCCTGGGTGGACGAACCGTCGCCGGAATCTCTTCTTTCTATTGCAAGTCAATCAGGCGCCATCTATTCTGCCAGTGCTCTCCAGCTGAATACTGAGTTGGCAGTGTGGTCGGAAATTGACACACACAATTTGGCGCCGTCTGCAGAAAAGAAAGGAGAATAGATGGCCAGCGACGGACAAAAGGAAAAGGTTGGGAACGAAATCCCTGCTGGGAATGGTAAATACGTTGACCCTAACATGGAGGAAGATTGTTGCAACGAAGAGAATCAGAACCAGAATCTCGGCAAGAAAGACGTCGTCCAGGATGGTGACATGCCAAAGAAACCAGATCGAAGTGGGTACTACAACGAGAACGACCTCCAGGTATGGAAAGACAGATGCCTGTGGAAGGACGAAGAGGTGAAAGAGATGGCGAACCAATTGGCAGACTTGCAATCGGTCATCAATTTTATGATACAAAACAACGTCATGCAGCCACCGTTCCCGCTACAGGACACGCCAATTCCAGCGGCCAATGCCTAGAAGGGAGGGCAGAAAACAATCCCTATAGCCCCCCAGCACAGTGGGAGCGAAAGACACTCTCACCAGCCTTCAAGAGAGGTCGGGCGAGGAGAGTCAAGGAGAGAAGAATCTCGAAGGACACATCGCACCAAGGAGACAGACCCCAAAGAACATCGGCATGTTCAAAGGTAGGCACTGTGCTTCGACACAACTAATGGAGAAAGGTCGAAAAGGGCTCACAACAAAGCTGAGAGCAGTGCGCCGAAAAGACTGAAGTCAGGAGATAGCCGAGCTCCCGGGCAGACAAAGGAGGACTTGAGAGATTACCTCAAGAGGAAGCAACAAGATGCCGAGGTAACTTCTCCTGTTAAGCCGAAAACACCATTCTTGGCGGAGTTGGACAAATTTGAGGCTCCGAAAAGATTTAGTATGCCGAGATTCTAGAT